TCTCTATACGGGATAAACCGAACGGGCACACACCATCCCAGGGACCTACTTCACGCGACCTTGAAAGGGTCAGATCTTCAGGGTGAAGGAGCTTTGGCAACCTGGTAGTCCCGTGGTACCGACGCCTTCCACCAGTGGTCGAAGGTCAGAACGAGAATTTCCTCTCCGGGAACGCGACGGCTGAGCAGACCCGCCTAAGCCGGCGCCATAGCTCGAAAACAACTATCCGCAACCAAGGAGCCACGGAGATCAGAGCCTGAACCTGCGAGCCTATGACTAAACCTTTCACTCGGAGGTCGAATACACAACCTTAAGGACACCTTGATAACATGTGCCAAAGACGTGAGTCTTGCAGCGGTGCTGACCGTGTATATTTTTTAAAGGAACGTAAGGATTGCCACCGTGCATGCTGCGTGCCGTGCTTGTTACGCAGTTACACGCGAGATATAGCAATCCATTAACAGAGAGTTGGAAGGATTTGGTGGAGAAATTGGACACTCCAAATGATCTGCGCGCATTATGTCTAGTGCGTGGGCTTCTAAATTGATATCGCCGCAGAGTTAGCATTAGTTTGTTTGCAACTCACTGTTGTCTTGTTAGAATTTGACAACAAGTGGCAATGGCTGGCAAGTGGCAAGCCAATCAGTGGCGAGGGCCGGCCTTCAACAAAAGATCTATTTGCTTGTGAAGCCGCACCAGAATGCCAAAACGCCCATGTCACTAAAAACATAAGATAATCAGCAATACGCTGCTGAGATGGTGCTTTAATGGCAAGGCCACGAAATAAGTCACAATGCATTCTAGGGGAAAGTGAGCGTTGACAAACGTTACCGGTCCTCGCACCCGCGACCAATCAAAGTCGCCGGGTTCTCGCACCTGTGACCAATCATCAGCCTCCATTCGCAGTCTTTTCCCAGATGCTGTCTGGGTGTTCAGAATACCGGACAGCCGCCTTTCAGCGCATCTGGAGCGACCGTTTGATGTCAATTAACAGTCGATTTCAGCCTAATCGCGTGTATCCAGGAGCGAGCAGTGAGTCTGGATGAAGCGCATCAGAAGCTTTTCATTGGAATGGCCTTGCGACACGCCTCCTACCGGCATTCGTCATCTATTGCTCAGCGATGCGTGCCCATTTTGAGGACCTTTGATGGTGTCGCAGGGCGGGACGTTTTCCTGTCAGATGTGAGCGAAGTCTCACGCGCTTGGTAACGATTTTGTGCATAATACATGCCTCATTTTCAGGCGTGGCTTCTGTCTGTAACATGACATGGGTAACAAATGGTACTTAGAGCCATGTAAGGATGCTAGAAACCATTATTGGAGACATGTTTCATGATGTATTGCTAGCCACAGTGTTACTCGGAAAATGTTCAACACTTTTCCCACGGACCCGGGATTTACAAAGTACAACGCACAGCTACCGGATATCACCATGACAACTCCTTCTTCACAATATCACCCTAATAGCAGTGACGGCCAGACAAAGCGGCGGCTAACGCCGCTGTGAATCAATTGTTAGTTTTGCTGAGTGGTGTGTCTTATAGTTGTACGCTGATAGGCATTAACCAGCGATGGATGATGGTTCACCGACAGGGTTGGAGCAGGCGATTTACGGCAGGATGCTGCTTCGTGAAAATTGTATGACAACATGCGTTAAGCCGTGCAATTTGGTAATGAATTAAGATAACTAGAGTTTGCTACTATGCACAGATCGCTCGCAGGCATTTTGCATGGCCGTTGTAGACATGACATGCAGCTTCAGATCACAAATCATGATTCTTAGTTCTGTTTCTTTCGAAGATCGGCTGCGTCTGGCGCAAGCCCACACAGCGCCTGTCCGTCCAGCAGTCCTGCACTGCTGTCACCGTCACCAACCCCCTCCCCCCCGTGCACAGAGTGGACCACCCAGTGCTGCTGCTGCCCACGAGACAAACAACCCCCTGTCGGTGTCCGGAGAGAAAGCCACCAAGGGTGCGCACCGGATGTCGCCGCGCCGCAAGTGCCAGCGCCGTCAGGTCAGTTAACATGCGCCGCGCGGGGACAAGGCGAGATAGCGTCACTCCTCGGAGGGTCGCGCCTCCGTTCGGCGGCGCGTGGGGCGCGGTGGGGACGGGTCCCGCCGGGCCGACGGGAGATCGAGTGATGAATCGGTCGGGGGGGAGGGGGAGGGGGAGGGGGGCCGGGAGGACTTTCGCCGGCGGATGCGGTATCCGTGTTAGCGGGTCTGCACGCGGTGATTTATCGCAACATGCGCGCAACGTGCCTGGGGTCCTGGAGTCGCCGGCCCAATAGGTCACGCATGCTTGGCTTCCCGGCGAAGATTGGCTTGGGCTAGAGGGGAGTGGAACAAATAAAATCCAAGCAGCGGGAGGAATTTTGATTAGGACGGTACGATTTCATGAATTTGTCACTCATTCAATGAGGAATGCTTTCGGGATCAAAATCAGGGCGACTGAATTTAATTAACATTATCACTCAGTCAACGAGGGATGAGTTCGGAATGAAAGTGAGTGAGTCAAAACTCTCATTCAATGAGAAATGCCTTCGGAAGGAAAAATAAAGAAATACGTTACACGAGTTCTGTGCAAATGGTTATGCCACAGCCGGAAGCCTTACGGTCGCACTGAGTAAGAAAATCTTCGTAAGTGTGGGCATTAGAAAAGGATTCGAGAAAGCACGCACCTCGATCGAAAAGCCGAAATGGCTTGGTGTCCTCTAAACAGCATCATAACTGCAAAACACATCATATTTGCATGGTGCCTGGATGCTACAACGAAACATTTTTGTTCCGCGGTCGTGGTCCTAATTCAAAGTCGTCTCAGTCGAAGCACACCTCCGAAAGGTGTTTCTGATGACTTGACGCCAATTTTCTCAGTTTTTTCTTTCTATTCTGACGGTGTAAAGACCGATCACTTTCATACCGTCAAAAGATTAGTTTTTGAGGGAAGGCTCATATGTAACGTAGGACAAAACATCGCGCTTGTCAGTTCACTTGTCATGATGGCACAAAACAAACCAAGGGATGAGTCAAGCCACTTTCCCTTCTATGGCGCATATCGTACATGTAACACTACGACCAGTCAATAACTGGCACGAAATGCCGGCGTCATTAAGCGCCTAAATGCGAAACATTAGGTGCGCTTCCTCCCTCCCTCCCATGCGATCCACGTGTTCGGGTGACACGCGTGACACGAGTGTCAGCGCGGCGATTGTCAGGGTTGTCAGCGGGTGTCAGATAGCGGGGGCGGGGCAGGGGGTGGGGAAGGGCAGCACGTCCTGGCCAGGCCATCCTGTTGACCGGGCGCCGGGGGCAGAGGTGCGATGACCTCCTGACCCCATTGAGCGTGCCGCTGCCCGAGAGCGTCGCTGGGAAGGGTGGGGCAGATACGGCGTGGAGTCACAGCGATGGGCTGACCTAGCGCGAGAGTGCAATTTTTGGAAGCATATACCTAACAGCATATGCATGCAAATTTACTTCACCAACCCAACAATATTGCTGTCTGGTAAGTTTTTTTTGCAATGCGTGGTAACTGCATCAGAGGTCTGAAGGGAGCCAACCAAGTTGCAGGGCTATGAAACAGAAGGCAGGAAGTAAGATCTGAATGAAATTTAATAGAAAGTAAGAGCGATATTCACTTTCAGACCCCTAAGGAACGTCTATTCTTGCGAACAGATCCTGTCCCTTGATTCCGCGGCTTTCAAAATGACGACCGTGTCAGAAAGGTTTCCGCGCCGTATTAAGGTGCGAGATATTGATGCTTTGAAAACCACTGAAAGCCTGTGTCAAAGCTTTAATTCCAAATTGTGCAAGTATCCAGGTGAAGCTGATACCACTGAGGTAGTTGCCTGGTGGCGGTTGGATGAATGCATTTTTCAGTAAACCGTCCTCGAAAATCAAGCTATTTAACGTCGGGCTGGGTAACTACACATGCTATACAGACACGCTTTAAATCAGCTGATGATTTAAGACGGGGCTATAAAACCCTCCCATCACGTGCATTCGGTGGTGCGGCAGTGTGGAAAACATTAGCCGTACTTGGGGCTGAACCCTCTATTCACCTGTCAGCAGGACACCTGTATGCACCGTAAGCTGGCGATACAGAGGTCCCTGCACTGGAAAAGAAAGCGCCTGAGGAAACGCAGCGCACTACTTTTTCATACAGCGATGCTCAGGGCGCTTGCTATATCATATAATTCTGCCGTGACTTTTGCCAATCAGAGGTTTGCGGATCATTTACAGACTTTTGCAATGTGGGTCGCCGTTCAAAATTAAGCCATGGTAGTTTGCTTGAGCGTTACTATAGCCAGATATGCAAGGACTGTTGACTTGTATCAGGCCCCGTGAACGTTATATTTATGTTAAGGTTTGCATGAAAGTTATACACACCAAAGCAATGCATTTATTAAAGAAGCTGTTACCTAAATCCTGTCACCGCTAGTAGTTCCACTACCAGTAGCTAGTAGTTCGGGCCAACTCGGAGACATTCAAAGTCGAGGGTTACTTGTGAGTAACTTCCAAAACGACACTTGCGGTACTATTTTTGTCTACAAACGCCATCGTGGTGTTTAGAATTCAGCAAAGCCAATAGCACACTAACAGCAAACAGAAGCCACTGGATGTATGATTCGGCCTCCATGAGTACGACCAATTATTTTTGCTGCGAAGGTATTGCCGATGGACCCAAAGTATTAAAGATATTTTCGATGAACATTTCAATCACAAGGTGCTTCTTGAGGTGCTTTAGGCCTTTACAGTGACCAAAACAGTTAAGATTAGTCGCGCGGCCCAGGCAATTTGTACTTAAGGAACACAACAATGTTCTCGCCGGGTAAACAACCTAGCGATTCTGGGAACAACCTCCGAACAATCTCAAATCAGATCCAAGCATACGCGTTATTTCCCCATGTCCAATCATCCCCAACGATCGCCATGCCCCCTGCCATTTCCCTGAGGACACATTCCCCACCGTCCTCGCCGCACGCCCGTCCTCATCACTGACCGTGAGGAGTCGCATGGTGTCCGCGGAGTCCTCCCGTTCGACGCGTCCTCGCGCCTGCCCGACCACCGTGGAGTACGCCGGCAGGCTGCCGGCCGGGTCTTATACACACTTTCACTCGGCGAGGAATCTTCACCCCCGGGTCTCGCTTGCAAGGTCATGACGGACACTGGCCGGTGCGCCGGACGGTTGCCATGGATACAGGATTACGCAGGGGACGCGCCGCGCAGGATGGTCGAGGGGGAAATATGCTGACGACCGCGTACTTCGGTCGCCATCTGCGTGAAGGTGCGCCGTGATTTCGGCATTCAGTCACAGTTGTGCTGGCCGCGGTGAAGATTTTCGTCCTCATAATGGAGTTCGTTTCATGACTTAAATTGTGTGTCGGGTATCCGAAAATTAGTCGTTATTACTTGCCAAAAGTACTAAACACAAGTGCAAGCTGGTAACCTGCATTCTCGTCACGCAAAAGTGCAAAAACAAACAAGTGACCATTGTTCACCGTAGGAAAAAACAGGCAAAGAAATCAGGACGCGTTAGCATGCTGCGCAACCTGCACACGCCATTCCGCTCTTGTGACCTGGTGTCTCAATAAATGCAGGGCGGCTCCGAAACAGACAACATTCTTTAACGCATTTCATTTTCGGCGTCCATGATGTACGTTATGCATCCGACGTGTCCGGTCGACCAAGTGGTTAAACGACGTGCTTGTGCAAAGAAAGCACTATTGCGCTATTGACATACAACTGAGCTGACCTACAAACACCGCCCGTTGAAAGCGGCGCGCCTCTCCGAGACGCAGAGCGTAAAACCTCCGCTCCATTCAACCGGGAGAGACACGCTGCAGCCTGTCGGCGTAAGATGAAGCGGCAGGAGGCCGGCGGGGAGAGATGGGCAGCTGCCGACACGAGGGAGAGGGCAGTGACGTCCTCTGTCCCCCGAGTGACGTCATACGAGCTAGTATCGCCCGGCCCAACCGCCACGCATGCAACGGCACGCGCTGCACTTTCGGTCGTGTGACCGCTGCCGGCACCTCTCATTGTGTTCGGGTTAAGTGCCGCCGGTGACGGCTGGCGGCGGGCCATTGTTGGCCAGCGAAGCCGGGGAATGCAACTTGGGGTTGGTGGCTAACACCGGAGACTGCAGTGCTGCCGGCAGGCTAACGGCGCCAGCGGGTACCGCTAACGGGGCCGGCAAGCCAGTCGACTAAATGGTTTGTGGTTTCGTTTTGTCCGCAAAAATTGACACCATGATGTTGTGCGCATCCATGGGTCTCGGCTTCGTTGCCTTTGAAGCACTTTCGGATGCATACATGCATCTTAATTATATTAGATATTCATTTAGTCATCGCGGTTTTCTTTGCATGATGTAACTAAAATCAATAATATCTCTGTCTGTGCGTGAACGATTGCAGATAAAACACGACCCGAGCTTAGGAGTTTCTGAAATGTTTCATTACCATCATAGGCAGTCCATGGAATCAGCCACACCTCAGCCATTGCCCGGCGTTCGGGAGAAGAAACTGAGGCACAGTCTTGTTTGGTAAGCTATCCACCAATGAGGTGTCTTTAGGCGCTTGTCGACCAGCCGAAAAGTGGGGTGTAAAGCCCATACACCCTGGAAGTTGAAATAATAAAAATATCACCTCCATCGCATGACGAGGTGGCTGGCTTACATAAATGATTATCCGTACTTAAACGTCCAAGAAAACCTGTTATGACTCGTGCTTGTTCTAGCAGCCACCTCTGAACACCGCCTCAGAGCCTTTTTTGTATTTTTATAGATAGGCTGTCCGCCCACTAAGTTCTCACTTGACTTAATCATGCTTTATCTGGCAGGAGGCGGGGGCGCAATACTTATTCATGGTCGACTTATCGGCAGTGGGAACATTTCTTCACGGAATGTTACACGGAAAAGGTGCGCGTGCAGCATTGGCCTCAAATAGGAAGGCCTAATTACAAAATAGCATTTCGAAAGACAAGACTATTGTCTAGTCAAAACGTTATCGTCCTTCGCCTTTGCGTTGCAAAAGTGTGTGAAAAAATAAAAGCTGCGTTAAGTGTGAGACTGCAAAGAACGTTAATCAGATTGACCCCGCCCTGAATCGCACTTTTCATAACGCGTACTGATAGGTGGGGGATGGTAAGAGGGTCGATAGGATATTCCCGATCCCGTTGTCAAGAAAGAAAGGTATAGTCTCGCAGAGAAACTCATTGAATTGTACTTAACACGATCTCGCCATTGATAACACGTTTCAAGTTTGTAGGTTAATAGTTGAGCTCATTATGCCTGGTCAAAGGTCAACTTTCCTGAAAATCGGCTTTACATGACAATAATAACAAAATCATGCTACGTAGCGGCACGAAAGGTACACAGACGCGTTTCCTACTAAATTTTTAGCATGTCGATATATAGTGATGTGTTTTTAACGCATATTTATGATGAGGAGCTCCGTCAAAGTGGCGGTGTGTGGAGCATGCGATCAGCGGTTTAGTCAGTCACCGCCAGCCGGCAGCGCCGGCCGCAGGTCGCCGTGTAGTGTCCGCGAAAAATGCTGCTCCTCAGAAACCAAAGAAGCGAGAGACACACTTTTTGGGGTCAAAAACACGCACAAAGAAAGTCCCGTAGGCCACCGAAAATTTCGGCGCGATAACATGACCTGCCGGGAAGATAACTCCAGAACACTTTAGGGAAGGGAGCAGCATCGAACACCCCCCCCCCCCCCTCCCCACACACACACACTCCTATCAAGGCAAGGATTAAACCAGATGGACCGGAACTGAACGATCATTCGCACATGAATATCCCAATGCTTTTTTTGTCCTACGACGAGCCGCTCCTGGTAACGCAGTGCTAAAACAATTATGGTATAACTGCTGAAGCACACAATTCACCCGCTACCTTGCGCTTAAGTCTACGTTCTTGAGCAGGTTTGCTCTTAACTTTTTCGTGAAAACATCATCCAGTGGGCTCTGAAGATATCTGGATATATATATATATATATATATATATATATATATATATATATATATAGACATCGTGTGGCAGTGAACAAACCTGCGCACAACTTGGCATAGGAATTAAACCAGGAAGGAGCAGTGGTACCTCCTTCTCATTTACCTAAATGCATGCTCAGCGCTGAGTTCCACGAGCCTCAACAGCGTTGCTTAGAAAACTCGCCGTTATATCATTGAGGCTTGTTCCACAATGACAACATTATTTGCGTTGATAACATTACAATAGAAATACAAACGGAGAGCGTTAATCGACAAACCAGCGAGCACTGGCCAGGCAGATGGAGCTGAGTTACTTCACAAATACTCTACGAAGAGCCGGCGGCGCGTATGGTTAGTGCCAGAGGTAGCCTGCCGCTATAGAGGCAGCCTGCCGCTATCAGTCCTTTCTGCATCAGGTCCCGGCCAGAGCAAGTCCGGCAGACGGACTGGGGTCCGATCGCAGAGAGCAGGAAACCCGAAGCCAGAAGTTGGTGTCTTCAACGGCAAGTTGAAAACAACCACGCCATCTGCTGCAGTAACTGCACTCTCGAGCGGTGCGCGTGCGTGTGTGGGTGTTTGGGGTAGAGGGGAGGGGGCAACATCTCTGAGCACACTTCCGTTCCAGGCTGGGCCGCGGGGCACACACGGCGCTCGCAAACGCATGAAGCAACCCCTCGAATCCCGCATTCCTCTGCTCGCCGCCAAACTCGCAGAGGCGGCGGCGGCCAGCGGGGCGAGTCAACAGGTGTCGACATCACCGGGCGACCCTCCCCCCGCGCCTCCCCCTTCACTCTCCCCTGACTGCGGGATGCGCAGGCCGCTCCGCCGGCTCCAGACGGCGCGAAAACGTGCGGTATGCCCCCGCCACGCGTGCAGCCGGACTCGGAACGCCCGGGACGCTGTGTGAGAGGTGTCGAGGGGCGGGTCACCTCCGGAACGATGAAAGAGGGATGGACATTGTAGATGTTTGTGATGGTCAGGTGCCCCTCGCAAATGCTTGTGAATCTTAAAAGGGGAATCTCATTCTATATTTAATATTTTATCTCTTATATTTTTATCAGAAATCTTAATTTATCAGTAGGTAATTATAAACAGGCTATTTTATGCTTTTAGTTTAACGTTGTACGCTTGCAGGTGAGCAGTAGCCACATAAGTAAAATTCTAAAACGTCCCACTTCTAGAAGGCTTCAGCCGTTCTATCTCGTTCATAACTTGAAGGCAGATTAACCGCTCCACCTCACCTTAAACGGTGAGAACTATTCCAGCATCAGCAAGAGCATTCGCTGCCCGCCCTAGTAAGCGCGCTGGACACGCCTCTGCACCAGAGACGCGTCTGGCGTGGCATGAGTGACACCACGGAGGCGCGTGGCCCTCGCCATCCCTTTCGCCTCTGCAGGATGTCATCCCCACGCGGTGTTTTTGCGATCGGCGCGCTGGAGGCCCCTCGTAAAAAGGGCTATCTCGCGCCGCTCTTGCTGACCTGAGTTATTCACGCGTCTCCCACCGTCTAATGGAACGCGACGTTTTTGCCTGATGCAATTTACCGCGCAAGCCAGGGGCGCGCCTAGGAGTGCAGGCCGGTTGAAATAGTTCCACTGTCGTCTTGGTCATCTTTTTCGCCAAGCCTGATTCGTTCGGTGTCGGTGAGGACAAGAAATCTTCCCTTGCAACAGCCCCCCACACTTTGTCCACCTGGCCGCGCCTCTGATGACTACAGTGGCGATTCACAACGCTTTGATCGTGTTGTATCTGATGACACATTGTTTGCTGAAGTTGAAGCGGAGCTGGAAAAAATGAATGGAGTGGTCTCTGTTGTTCCATTGCTTAAGCAAGTTTACGTGCCGTAACAAAACTTTTGCTGGAATGATGACGCACGATACGTCAGATACCATGCATGTGTTTTGTTTTTTTATTCATGGTGTGGTACTAATTGGTTGGCTTGGCCGCATGTTAAGATACTCTCCCAGAAATGCATACGAATGCATAAATGATCTACGCGCGATGGCTTTTTGTGCTGATCCTATAACATGAGCCTGTATGCTTGTCCAGACTAAGTGCTGCAATAAAAAAGCAGCGATCA